TCGCACCAAGAACACCATGGAGCATCATCGTACCGACGGCGTGCCTCGGCAATATAAGCGCCTTGGGTGCTGTGTATGCAATCAACTTATCAATAATGCCCATCTCCATAACTCTCGTACAATTATATTGCACTTCTTGCCTATCAAAACAGGAAAATTATTTTTCAATGCCATCAAGCACTGACACTGCGTGTGCTGGTGTAGGAACGTGTATGCTTGTTTTGTCGGTGTGGGGATAGCAAACTCTCGGTATACAAAAGACATCTCTACAAAGCTGCTCGCCACTAGCGAATTTAGGTCGGCTCACCAAGAATGGAGAGGTCAAGGAGAAATTGCTCATTTCATAAGCCAAAATGGCGACCATACAAGGAGCTCGGCAGTACTTTCCCACGAGTCAGTTACTTTAGCTGGGTACTATTTATAGTTCCAAAATTAGAGGTCTATGCACGAGATATTTGTGAGATGACTGCGGCGCATGTCGGCTAGCCTTGCAGAAGTGGCAATTGGAGTGCCGGTTCTTCCGGCTTAGACTTTTAAAGGAGCTGTGCAATGATTTTAATGTTGAAAGAATTTGCGTCTTCTTCTGTTGACATTGTATATCTTGTCGCAAAGGGCAGAAGACACATCTTCCTTCGAAATATTGCGATTCCGCCGCGTAATTGCTAGGCAAAAATCAGAGTATACCCCGACCTGCAGCCGCGAGCGGCGGCCATGAGAACCACGCGGCATGACATCAGTGGGGGTCTTAAAGAAAGATAGCAAGCTGCGCGAATACTTGCTCAATAAAAGGTAACTTTTGTATAAATCCTGTCGTTCCAACATAAATATAAATGCGTCGAAAACCTGGTATCATCAACAAAACTTATATTATATGGAGTTTTAGTGGCGCCATCTATCCTAGGTCCACAAAACCGTCAGCCCTATCTGCTACCGCGAACAGCCGCAGAAGCCAGAGGGGGACGGGGGCAGAGTCTGACGGGGATGACCGGACCCGGATGAGACTTTTCTCCTTTCACCATCTATTGTTCGCGCTGCGCCAGCACGTGGTGACGCGGTCGCAAGCGGATGAGTTCTTGCTGCTCACCGATGGCTCTAGAGAGGGAGTTTCACCGGAGCCCCGCGTGACCCCCATTCGCGTCACAGCGCACGTGACTCGGAAGGTGGTGAAGGAGTTCAGAGATGCTCAAAAACCTCCATCTTTGTCCATTTTTAAAATAAAGACTAGGACATGCAGGCAAAAGCGCTTTTTGTTCTTTACTTCAGAAAGGTCGAGACACCAACTCCCAAATTATTTAAGCAGAGCACTGAAATTGTTGCACAGCTCCTTCAAGGGGGACTCACCCGCTTATCACTCGGAGAAAATTTCGATAGAGAAGCCCGAGTTTCGGGAAGGCACAAGAGTACCGATTCTTTTAAAGGTTATAAAGGAGTAATGAAAGTCGTACAGCGCTTGGATTTTGCACTGAGAGCTCTGTAGATCATTAATAAAATCCAGAAATAGGACAGTTTGGACTGTTGTGAGAACATTTTTAGGCAATTTTACAATTAGAATTACTTATGAAATAAATGTAGCAAACCCAAAGGTAATACATACAAGAGCTGTCTTCTATCTTAATTTTAGGAGGATCTCACAGCTGGATTTGAATTAAAATTCTAAAATTCGAAGTAAAAAAATTAAAGACATTTACGATGCCCCCTCCTCCCCTCCTGCTCGCCTCCCATTTAGGGGAAAACTTCCCACTAAATTTAGCGGAAAAATTTCCCCGCTTAGTTTAGTGGAAAAGTTCCCCGCAAAATTTAGCGGCAAAAGTTCCCCACTAAATTTAGCAAAAAAAATTCCCCACTAAATTTAGCAAAAAAAAATTTCCCCGCTAAATTTAGCAGAAAAAGGTCCTTGCTAAATTTAGCAGAAAAGATTTACCGCTAAATTAGCAAAAAAAATTCCCCACTAAATTTAGCAAAAAAAATTTCCCCGCTAAATTTAACAGAAAAATCTCCCCGCTAAATTTAGCGGAAAATTTTCCCCGCGGTTACGTTGACGGCGACGCCGCTCAAGCCGGAGACGGGCGCCTTAGAGCTGCGCTCTAAAGATAAAAGAACTTGAACTATGATTCCAGGTGGCACTGCAGGTGCTGCCCTCGTACCCATTTGGACTACGCTAGTCGCAAAAGAGTTCCTTCTTTCCATCAAAATAAAAAAAAATCCCAATCTTCTGCTCACCCTATCTTTGGACGCTTGACATAGAAACAAAGGAACTGGGTTTGGGAGAAGGGGGATTATTAAAAAAGATTGCGCGGTTACGAAGACTGCTGGGAGGGGGGGAGGCTTTGTGGCTGACCGCCTTCAACTTTTCCATCCGTGATTTGTGAGTTTGGGTTGGACGCAGGGAAACAGAAGTGTAGTCGTAAAGCTAGCACAGGTTTAGATTGCCCTGTCACCCGAAGCACCACACAACATATTTATTTCCTGCAAAGATCATAGTCCCGAGTCATAAAATTTACCGTATTTACTCGAGTAATAGCCGCACTATTTATGAACAAGGCCCTTGCGTCTACTTTCCCACAGAACACATATACAGCCAATCATTGTGTTCCGCATAAATAACATACCGAATAACCAGATCGAGAACATGATTCGTCATACAAATGCAATCTTCACAGATGGTATCTTCGCATGAAGACGTTATCTCTGTCCCGTAAACAGCTGGAATCATGCTCAATATCATTACCTCCTCTTGAGAATAGATGCATTGAAGAGAGATTATCTTTTTTCACAACCTCTTTTATAAATCCTGGACTAACCAAGAGTTCTTTTCACCAGCAAATCAAGTAACCCTCAGTCGTGATCTTTGTCACAAACTCGAGCTACCTTTTGCCAGAACCAACACTTTTAAGAAACTAGCCTCTTCTTTCGGGCATAAAGGACTGGAATTCACTACCAGAATTGTTTGTAACAACTACAGATAACGCATTACTTCTCGCAGAGATCACTCAGCATATGTTACACTAACTTTGATGTTGTATTTTTCGAACGGATGTTGTCACTTTTGTCTCTACCTTGTATTTAATCTATTGAAATGTTACTTTTGTATTTTGTACAGTGCAATCCACTTTTAACGATAATGAGAAAACCCGAACATTAAATCGTTGTATCTGGACCAGAAACTGAGCATTCCTACCTAGTCTAGAAACTGATCGTTATAAGCAGTTCATTGTTATATGTAATTTTGTTATAAGTGGATTGTGCTGTATTATTCCCTTTATGTAATGCCCCCCAAGGGGCCCATAAGGTATAATAAATGAAATGAAATAAAATGAAAAACTTTTAGCCTTTCCACTCTGGTGAAGAAGGAAGACCAGCGAAGCTGTACTATGGTGGGAATGAAATAACGGCCGGCCGCAAGTCGACAAGCCAGAGTGGAAAGGCTGGAGAGGTTGCCGCCATCTATGAGCGACGGCGGCAACGAGACAACAGGCAAGCCGGTTGCCGCCGTAACTCATAGATGGCGGTAGCTGTCTAGAGTTTCGTGTCATCATTTGTTTGCCGACGGACACGATACTGGGGAAACTAGCCCTTAGCAGCTAGCTCCGTTGTAAAAGCAATAATCGGGAAAATAACCCCAAAATAAAAAAAGCGGGAAACGCGTAGGGTTCCAGGACATTTCATTGAATGCCGTTTCATAGAAAAAGTGGTTGTCTCGTAGCGAAATCTCCAATTGAAACAACTGGGCAGTATTTTTAAACAAAGAATCCTAAGAGCGGGCAAAGAAACATTGCTAACCAAAAAAAATAAAATTCGGGGCTGGTGGAGGGGGGAGGTGGTGGAACCCCGGATCCATCCGCTGGGGTACATCCCAGGCGTGTCCTCCGTCGTGCCATCCAAGCGTCTGTCATACGAGGACAATGAGAAATTACTTCACAGTTTGCAAGATTCAATAATTTTAAAGAAAGTATAAACCTTCAAATTTTGTTGGCAGAAACCTATGATGCATGCAATGAAATGGCGTTCGATGAAATGTCCGTTCCCAGGTGCGACTGACCTTCTAGTGCGCAACAAAACCTTAGATGCCTCGCTTTGTGAAAATACGATGACTGAAAACCGGCATGGTCTTTCAGGCACGTGCAATCTTTTGCAGTTCTGACAGACTCCATCACCACCAGTGTTCTTCCACACCACATCAGCACGCCCCTCTTCCTGATGCAATTGTGGACTGGAATGAACTTCCCGAAGACATTGTCACCATTCACAATCCCATCAGATTCCGAGAAGCGGTATCAACTATTGTAATTAACACCCACTCCCCTCTCTAACGCCTTATGGCCCTGAGGGTATTGTAAATGAATGAAAAAGGTGCAGGTCGATGCCAAATTAAAAAAATCTCCGAAAAGAGCTAAATCTCACCGCAAAACCGACCGGTGGGGAGAAAGGCTCACCGGCCTCTTGATGAATGCAATGGTAACTCAACTACGATTCTCGCTTTCTGAAATGGCATTCTGTTGGTATCTGGAGAATAGCAATATTCTTTTCCGTATTTTTCTGTTTTGTAATAACCTGTGACCTCTGGTGCTGATGTTGCCGAAGACTATACGGTCCTGACACAATTTGGGGGTGTCTGTGATCATCAGGTGCACTGACAGGGTCACTTCTTTACAGCTCATAGAACTCAACATTGAGGCAATGTCATAGAAAAAAGACGTGTCTATCACTTTGTTAATTGTTCCCATCCTGCAGGACTGTGGACCCCTGCTTCTTCATCCCCTATTGGTGTCTGTAATATACAAATTTTGTATATATCTCCATTTGTGTTCCCCAGAGGGCCCCCGCAGTAGAGCCGCAATTGATTGATTGCCCGCCTGCCTGTCCGCCCACCTCCGGTTCACCGTCCAGCCCGCTCCGTCTTTGCATTTACGGAGACTCGAACTGCTGCAGCAGAAGGTTGCTGACTCCTGTTCTAGACCAAGACAGTGCCGCTGTTCTTTGATTAAAGAAGGGCGCCTTACCAAGCTCCACCAACTCCGTCGGACCCACACAAATCGCCGTCTGATCGCCCGACGGCCTGGGACCACTTGAGGTGGAGGAGGAAGGAGTGCTGCAGAGGGCAGGGATCCTGGGTTCTACAGCAATCTGCATTTCAGATGTTGACATTTTTATCAAGGGGAGGGTTTGTACAAGCCTCAAAAAAAATATTTCTAAAGTTTTTAAGGGGCAATGCAACGGTTTTAATGTTGAAAGAATTGCCAGTTTGCATTTTTTATATTGTTTATACAAGCCCAAGTGACCAAAAATGTGTCACCTTTCGCCGAAAAACTGTTATTCTGCTGCATAATCGAAAAGCCAAAAACGAATTATTTGCCGATCTGCAGCTGCCTGTGGCGGCTGCGGGAACTAAAATGACAGCATCTCTGGGGGTACGCGGAAGTCAACAAAACCTCTCCCCTTCCGCTGCTACACTGGCCGTAAGCCCCGTAGCGAACCGTCCTTTGTATCCATCGCTCGCCGCAACCTTTGACGAGGCTGATCCTTTGAAAGTCGACAATTGCAAAGGAAGCGGCTGGGGTCTCTGAAGAGAGGGCCCACATGAACCCCCAGAGTACATCACTCGAAAGTCGGCGTGGAGAGTTGAGAGGCACTTCGACCTTCGATTTGTTTCATTTTTTTAAATAAGAACTAGCGCTCGGAAGAAAATGTGTTTTTTTTGTTTTTTCGTTCTATAGGTGACGCATATTAATTTCCGCAGTTAATTGGTCTAAGTCTGAAAATCGTTGCACCACCCCTTTAAGGACTTTTGAAGGCCTAGCTGTAAAGATATTTTCAAGGACCGCTTCCAATACTCTATACAGTAAATTTACAACATAGCAACTTTTTGAAATGCACTGTGAAAATTCTTTATTGTGCAATACCTAGGGTAAGGCGCACTTGCCAAAAAGGTGCTAGAAAAGGCTTCAGTAGAGCTACTTCAGCTTTTCCTTTATTTCCTGGTTGAAGTTTAGAAGTTCTAGCATCACAGATTTTATGTGATGTTACCTACATGGTGACGGTGATGTTACCTACATGGCCTCTGCTTTCTCAGCGAAGTGATCGGCTGAAGCTGTCAGATCAGCGACTGTTGATTCAAGTTTTGTTTTCTTCCTCCTCATGTTGTCAATCTCGTCTTCGACAGACTTACTTGTTCAAGTTGGACCTATTGCTGGGCTTGCAAATATGCTTGATAGTGCTGCCTTGCAGCTAACACGGATGTCCTCAACTCTCTTATTATTAGAATGCCTGCCTCGTCAACTGCATCAGATATAAGTTGCAAGATATATGACAGGTCTCTCAAGTTCTCCACAGACACTTGACGGTTCGCACTGAGTCGCAGTGCACAACTCAACTATATGTCCATCATACGTAGCGTAAAGCAGATACAGAACAAGAAGACCAGGAGTAGCTAGCAAACAGTACACAAAAGAACAAGGCGACCGGGGGGCAAGATTGAGGAGACCGGATCCAATTCCAGAAACACCGGGTGTGCTACCATTGTGGCCAGGCACTTAACAAGCATCCACTAAACCCGTCTCAATGCGCCATATAAGAAAACATTCTCGTTGGAATTTCAAAATTTATGTCAACATACGCGTAAAAAAAAATTAATTTTAATAATGTAAAACAAAGAATTTGTAGCAAACAAAAAAAAAAAAAGAAGAAAACTGATTATTATTGAAAAGGTCAAAGGTTTTCAAACACCACCAAAAACTTCCAAGGGGTTTCAAGGTCTGGAAAATTCTGTTTTCAAATTCAAGGATTTTCAAAGACCCGTGTGAACCCTGCAGGGCAGTGGTGTAGCCAGAAAATATTAGCCCTCAGCAATCGTTTAGATACTATTTTCAGCCAGGTCTCGAGACTTATATGCCATGCAATACCAAAATTCGCCGCTTTGAAGCTAGGCCTAATGCTTAGCGCCTGGACCGACTGCCACAAGCTGCCTTCACATCTAGAGACCTTTACCCCGCCCGGAGTGTCGTCTACATACTGCACCTATTGGGTCGACACAAGTTAATAGAGAGTTTTGGAATAGGGAGCCCCCAAAAAATACGGGCTCACCACTGCGCCATGCGCCCAACCCAAACTTGGTCTTGGGTGTTGGGTTGGCATCACCCCTAACGCAAAATTCGAGAAATAGCGTGGTGTGGGCCCCTATTTGCTTGGGGCTGGGCTACATCGGCAAACATGGCGGCGCCCTTTCCGCCCGCTTCAGAGCAAATTTGTTATGGTCGCTGTCGTATTAGCCACGTTCATCGCCAGTGAATGGTGCAGCCAGCTTCGCTTTATCTCGCTCAAATCACAGAGAATGAGCGGTGAGCTCGACCCATATTACAGATCTTTTTATTCTGGCCGTTCCTAAGCTTAAAGAGACATAATAACTGTTGACATGGCAACGTCCCGCTACTTCCGGGACTACGAGTGGATTTTCTTGGCTCGATCAGCCGAGCGTTCGTGACATGTTACCTGTAGCTTAAAAACAAGTCTTCCAAGTCTTTGGTGTCACTCCAGCTCAAATCTAAATAAAGCAGCTGCTCGCACAGTATGCTTGCCTGCGTTCGTCTTGGTTTCGGCATAGTTTCAGTAACACACAGTCAACGTGGCACACAAATGCCTAAGACAATCTGAGAATGAGCGCCTAATTAGGGCGCTACGGATTGGATTGTTGTCGCTGAAGACAGCTAAAAATATTTATATCAACTGTAGATTGTCTCTGGTTTTATCTGGGTTGATTTGGTTTTACCTCAATTATTTTTTGTAAACAAAAAGTACCTGTTAAATGCATGTTTTAATTTTTCCTAATATTTTTTTTTTATACTCCACTTGTTTGCTGTATTGGCATTGCAAAAACTCATTCGTTTAGATGTTTTTCGTTTCCTTCCTTTCATCCTTAGTCACGTGGTTTTTGTATCTTGTATGCCAGGTGAAAAAATAATAAAACATTTCAACCTCGAATATGTGAGAAAATATAGGTGAGGCAAAACAAGAATGAGTGACAATCGTGCATTTTTTGTGAACATCTTTCAGTTGCGTGGAGATATGAAAACAATGTTTTAATGCATACCACAAGTGACAACCCTCAAGATGGCTGTGCTCTTGTTGAGAAGGTGTATATGCCTGCAGCCCCTATTCTAAAACCCTCTAATAACATCCACAAGTCTATCATTTGCGCACGGGCCTAATGTGGGTTTTGGCAAGATTTTATATCCAATTTATTACACGAGGAAAACTATGCCGTACAATTTCAGACAGTAAAACTGACCTGCTCAGTGCACATTCAGTGAAAGTTCGAACTTTCTATGTGGAGGTGCCGAGTTTTCTGGTTCATGTCACAAGTCTGCTTGGGACACCCTATTTGCACTTTCTCGCTTGAGTTGAAACGTATTGGTGCCAGTGTGCAAATAGCCCCCAACTACTTCCGGTTCTAAACGAGACGGCGAGTTTCACAGTATTTGCGAAATCAAACGTACATGCCATCTTCTGGAAAAGGCCACTTATAGCACTGTGAGACTTAATTCACTCTTATAATAAAAAAATGATGAGTAAAAAATTAGGAAATATACATGAACCGAAAGTGTACCGGGGCTACCCAATAGATGGCGCCAGAATCTGTTGCCAAACAAAAAAGGGGGAATACATGATGCAAGGCAATCCAAGATCCACGCTACGAGCTCTCAGTTTCTGGTTTGACTCTGTCTCTGCCTGGTGGTCTATGACCGGTGCATAGTGCATGGCTACAACTACAATATTCTACTACACTGTAGTTACAACCAGAGGTCGGCATTTTAGGTCGCCCTCACTCACCCTCACCCTCACAGCCACACTCACCTAAGCCCCTCACTCACCCTCACCCTCACAGCTACACTCACCTTCAGCCCCTCACTCACCCTCACAGTCACACTCACCTTCAGCCCTTCACTCACCCTCACTGAAACTCACGCAATCACCGCCCTCACTCACTCATGGCCCTCACGCCACTCACCGCCCTCACGCCACTCACGGCCCTCACGCCACTCACCGCCCTCACGGCCCTCACGCACTCACAGCCCTCACGCCACTCACGCGCCTCACCGCCCTTGCGGCCCTCACACCCCTCACGCCCCTCACGCACTGATGGCCCTCACGCCACTCAGGCCAGCTTCAGAAGGGGCAAATTCGCCCAGAAACCTTACGTCGCAACATCTGCAACACGGGCCGCCCGCGATCACACGCAGCAACCAGTTGCTGTAATTTGCCATCGTCATCATAAAATTTTATTTTTCTTGCACTATTTAGACACAATTACGCGTTATAAACATGTTTTTATGCATTTAAATCTCGTTAAGAATACTAATGCACCTTTCTGAAACAGTTTATTTCCAAAAAAACGATCGATTTCAAACCAGAACCAAGTCTTTCGGTGTCATCATCACCGGCACGAGGTATCACGTGAAAATTTTGCGTCCCTGATTGGATGCAGCCGCTTCAAACGCATTCGAATTGCTCCGAGTTGCTTGCTTATTCCGAGCCGCACCCGATCTCAGCAATTCGTGTCGATCTAGGGAAAACTAGAGAACAACCCGCCATTAACACCAAAATTGCTGAGAAAGATGCTCGATCTGTAGGGGGCCTCACGCACTCATGGCCCTCACACACCTCATGCGCTCACTGCCCTCACGGCCCTCACGCCTCTCATGCCACTCACTGCCCTCACGCACTCATGGCCCTCACACCCCTCACGGCCCTCACACACTCGTGGCCCTCATACGCCTCACCGCCCTCACCGCCCTCACGGGTGGTGATGCCTCACCCCCCTCACGGCCCTCACTCACCCTCACACTCATGAATTTTCCTGGTTCAGAAACTCACTCACCCTCACCTCACCTGTGAAGATGAGGGTGAGTGAGGGTGAGTGAGGGCCCTCATGAGTGAGGTTTGCCGAGGTATGGTTACAACCAGCGCTGTTACAACACACTCTTTGCCGCGGCTCATGGTAACAGGAACATCTTGTCCGCCTACAATTATGAGGCGCGTTCAGTAGCGGCCCCGGAGTCAAGGAGTCACCGACTCCTTCCGCTGGACGACCAAAAAGGCACGTCCGGTGGACGCAACTCTGGGGCTTCGGAGTCAAGCTCTGAAGCACCAAGTCTGGAGACGGTACACGTAGAGTCAAAGGAGCTAAAAATGACGTCATTTCCTAACTGGTGACAATTTCCGGTGCTAAAAGAGAGAAAAAAAAAAAATGGGGGTTAAGCTGCGTCGGTTTTGTCGCAGGTGTGCAGTTTGCTCGCTTTTGTTATTGAAAAGTGCTCAAGGTAAGACAAATAATGCGTTTGATTTCTTTTTCAGGTAAGGCTCTTTGTGGAAAATGCATTGGACCGTATTTTGTTCGTTTTGAATATGCTGATAAACAATGTAAACGTTCATTTGACGCCGTGTCTTGATCGCCGTTGCACGGAAACTCGGTGAATATCGACGATAGTCGTGTCCGTGCTCAACAGAGCAAGGCAGGGTATGAACGCAACTTTGATAGCCAGTTGGACACTCACGCAGAACAAGGTCCCGATTGATGTTTAGTGTACGTAGCTAAATCGGGGTGCACGTTGCCGGACGCTCGCTTCGGCCGACAAAACCTTGATCGCCGAGCGCGGCTGAACTTCCCGTGTGTATACGAATACATTTTATAGGAAGTTTGTTACGAAGGGCAGAACAAACGTATGGCCTTATAAAAGCATTGCAACCGGCAGCGTAGCTTCGCCAAGCTCTATATTTTGCGTGTGCTGACGACATTTTTGTCGGTTTTTATAACAGTGGCTGCCTTTGCACTACCAAGCGAAGGGCTCGATCGCGTTGCATCGCTTTGAACAGCAGCGCTGAAGTGTACAGTCACTCACTCTTTCTTAACGACCTTGTCAAGACTTCTTTAGTACCGGCGTCAAATAAAAGCGATTGTGCTCGCCATCGTCTGCTTCCAGTTTATTCGGAGACCGTCTGGCACAGGGGAGGAAGAGGAAACTGCGTAGAAGCAGGTTTTGAGCTGCGGTTTTTTTTTGCAGTTTCGTAGGCGCTCCGAGGACTCCGACTCGAGTGACTCCGTTCGGAGCTGAAGGAGCAGCTAGGGAACGTGCCCATTGGCTTTGGCTGCGTTAGTGGGGGCGCCACTTTCATCCTCGAAGGAGCAAGTACCAGTCAGACAATCAAGCTGTCAGTCTCCTAAAGTGCAATGAAGCAGTTTCAAGAGCCACTTTGACCGTGCATTGCAGGCCGTATGCCCGGTATGCCTAGCTGAAGATCGACACAGCATGCACAATGAGCCATTCCACTCCCACTCCACTCCGGGCAAAAGGCATCTATTCATTCGAACTACGGAGTGGCAACTCCGCAACACTGGTAAGAGATACAAGCAACGAAAGTGTACTTCACCGTCTTTCCCGTTGCCGCAAACCGCCACGCAACTACAGCCACAACAGACAGTGTGTACAGCCTGTAAGTACAGCAGTACGGTGGCCTAGTAGTGGGCTTACCGTGTCCGCTTGCTGAGACGGCTCCTGTCTAAATGGAGAGATGGTGCTCCGGTCGACTCCTCCTGAAGCTTTCCTGCGCGGTGGTGCGATCGCGTGCGTAACAGTGCGTGAGTGCGTCAGTGTTTTCTTCGTCGAATAGCTCGGGAGAATCGTAGGAACTGCGTCGGCCGAAAGCATTGGTTTCCCACGCCGAACGCGTACCTCTTCACCGTTAATGACGTGCACGTAATCTTTAATTACGTACCGTGGTTCAAAATGTAATTCACACACAGCAGACATCCCATCCAACGTCTTGTCCGCTCGATGCAAGTTCTTATCCCAAAGCTTTCGCCGTGCCTCATCTTCGGGGACACCGAACAAAGACGCCTTCGGCGCGTCCTTCACGCGAGAGTGTCCTGTTCTACAGCCCAGCACAAAACAGTAGTTTCGCCGGTGACTAGGCATTCCTGCATTTGGGTGGAAGAACAAAACCACAAGATAACACTAATCACAGTGACCACACGGCAAAAGCACGCACAGGAGCACACGCGAACTGCGGTCGTTCACTCAACGCCAAAACCAAAGCCGAGCTGGCCGAGCTGCAGCCGAACGTAAACACACGCGGCCGGACGTAGCAGGGAGAGGAGGAGTCGACGTGGAGTTGCGTGGAGCCAACAGCAACGTTGGCAGCTCCGACATAGACCGCCTCACCCCACAGTGGCCTCACCCAACCTCACATCAGACTTCACCCACTTCACCGACATCACCTCGAAGCATGAGTGAGAGAGGTCGGTGACCTCACCAACCTCACTAGGCGACTAGGCCACTCTGAGATCCCGGATTGGATTGGATTGGATTTTGGCGGTTTAAAACAATCCGGAACTCAGTCGAAGATAACGTTGGTCGAAGACATAGAGATCATATACTAAATCTAGAGGAAAAGGTCCGCCATTTTCCCATACATTCTGGCTGCCGCAAGCGGCGGACCATGCAGGCAGACCCTCTGGGTCCCAAACACGGTTACATCATCAGAGCAGTTTCGTGAACTTCAACAATCCACGAACTTACCGGTGGAAAAATACTCGCGTTCCTTTCGAAGGTTTCTTTTTGCATAGCGCGCAGATGTACGGCCTCGCGTTAACGCTAAACTAAACCATATACCCGGCTTCGCTGGTGGGGCGCGGCTGGACGCGGTTGAGGAATACGAAACTGCGCAACCACCAGATTTCCGAGATTTCGACAGAAGGAAAGTTAATGCAGCGTAATGACTTTATTGCTTTTTATAAGCGTTAGAATAGCTTAGAATTTAGTTTACAACGTTAAATTATCACTGTTTATATTGCTGAGAGTTTACACTCTTCGCGTTTACCGCGTTTACCATGGCAACGTTGCTTTCTTTCTCTCGTGTTCTGTCGCTCTCTTTCGCGATCGTTCACTCGGGACCCAGGATGTCGGCGCACGGGATTTGCCACTCCTCCTCACCCACCTTTACCCCCCTGGTCGAAGATCAAAGTATGAGTGAATCAACAATAATCGTTGTATTTTCTGGATGATGATGATGATGATGATGATGATGATGATGATGATCTTGCAGCTGTTCCCTTTGTATCGGGCGGTTCCAAACAACGTTCGTACCTAGCCAAAAAAATATATATATATATATATTAAACAAGAAAAAAAAAACATTTCTTCGCGTTCAATTTGCTTTTGTCCTTCGCCACCAGTCCTCCAGTCTGCTTTTCGCATAGAGTTATTATAATGTACGCTAGAGGTTCAACTGGCGCTAGTGTGCTGCTGCAAATTGAAGCAGACAGCAACCAGTCCGAAATTGACTTCCGGTAATGCATTTCTATGGGAAAAAGCGAGTGCATTTTCTCTCTGCGCTCGATTATAAGAGCAAATATCACGAATAATTTGTTCTTACAAGGCACAGTGGAACATTTCTCAGTCACGCAGACGAAATAACTGGTCAGTTACGGCATTTTTATTTGAAATTCGTGGCATGAAAAACGGTGTTAAAACCGCTTCGTACGTGCATTTATGTGCACTGTCGGACACTGTTAGCGCGAACACAGCGTCGGCGCTTTCCAGCATGGGAGATATACGTGCCGAAACGAAGGAATTACATGTGAAAAACCAAGAGAGACGGCAAGAACTACGCAGTAACACTGGATAAGTAACTCCTTATGCATGCAGACGATCAAAATAAATTGAAAGCCACGTAATATACTAGTAGTCAGATATGCAATAAATAAGTACTGTTTTATTCTTTCTGCTCGTGATTATGTGCGAAGATGCTTGTTCTGGGTTCAAATCATCAGCCGCACACTTGAAATCTTTGCAAATAGGGAGAAGCAGAGAACAGGTGCTTGATTAAAACTGCCCGACATAAGAAATAATGAAAAGACGCACCTTTCGTAGCCCACATACTTTATTTTTTTAACAGATTGTCAAGATGCACGACGGAATCATTTTCATATAGTGAGTGACAGAACGGGCATATTACCAATATATAAGCGCCACCGGAATGCTAGCGAACCTTGAACGCACTCTACATTCCTTTCGATTGTTATTTTGCTTAGAATCGTCGCTCATTTCTACATACCTGCCATGGAACAGAGGTTTGGGCCTGAAATATAGCGAAGTTTAACATCGTTCAGTAGTAAAGAAAAATGCTGTAACTAAAGCAATTACACATTCACTATATCAATAACGTTACATACTATCCGGTACAACTGAAATAAAAAAAAGTTATTCGTGTTATTTTCCGGCGAAGAGACAAAATGCACGCGCGTTTTCCCATAGGAATGCACAGGACCACCACAAAAGTAGACTGGTTGCTGTCTGCTTCAATTTGCCTCCCGGAAGTCGCATAGACACTAGCGCCAGTTAAACCTCTAGCGTATATTATAATAACTCTATGGCTTTTCGTTCTTCCGATCACTTTCCAGCTCCGTTCAATCGGCTTCGTGGACGCTGCGGCGCGCGTTTCAACCTCACTTCGAGGGATAGCAACAGCATCTCTATCTAGAAACGCGTTCAGCGCTGACCCCGTCGCCGGTGATTGGAAGCCGAGTGCTTCCGCCAGCAATTGGGCTTGTGGAAGGGGCTGGCCAGGTGTCTGTCCGTTTTCAGGAGCGTAATACCACTGCACCGGATGGCTTGGTTGCAGGCTTATGCATGAGAGGACGATGTGTTCGATGGTTTCATCCGCTTCTCCACAAGCCCGGCATGTTGTTGTTTCCACCATCCGATTATATTTTTGTTGGTACACTAGTGTTCTCAGCCCTCCTGCACGTGCCTCAAAAAGCAAGCGGCTGCCCAGGCTGTTATCATATAACTGAGCCTCCGCTGATATTGTACTTTTGCTGAGGTTGTACACCCGTAGCGTTGACTTGCTCTTGGCCGCCTTTGCCCACTGGAGGGCCTCCTCCTCACGCACTCTCTCCCGCACCTCCGTTTCCCACTTTGTGTCTGTATTGGCACTCACGGGCACTGTGAAGAAACCAAATTTTTTTTCCAGTTGGTATAGCCGCTTCCTCCATCTTGTCTGTATACTTGTAAGGTGGATGTATACGAAGAGTCGCTTTGCCCACCGATTTCGGTCCATGAATCGCAGCCGCCCGTTGTAGCCGATCTTGCTCGTCGCTTCTCTGGCTTCGAAGGATGACCACCCGAGGTCTCCTTGGACAGCCTCGTTGGCCACCATACCATGGCATCCTACGGCCTGCCTCCCGACGTCTCGCTGACGGCGCTCCAATATCTCCCGCACATCCCCGGGTACGCAGATAACAGCGTTGGCAAAAGTCAGTCCCGGTACTATGGCCGCTTTCCAAAGTTCTCGTGTAACAACAAACCGGTTGCAGCTCCATAAGTTTCGTTTGCGAAGAACGTTGGTGCCTCGTATAGCTGCGTGTCGGAGATGTAGATGGTGCTCGGCCAAGTACTCTTGCTTATTGGTGAGTGTAATACCGAGGTACTTGTAAGTGTCTTGTTCGGGGATTTTGTCGCCATTCAGCACGCAGTTACCTATATTAGGCTCTTGAGGCCCAACTAGCTGCATCACTGCCGACTTTTTGTTGTTAAAGCGAAGGCCTCGCGCATCCGCCTCCTCATCGCAAATGTATACCAGTTTCTGTAAGTCTTCTGCAGTCTCCGCCATCAGTACAATGTCGTCCGCAAATGTAAGACCCGGCAGTACCCAATTTACCTCCTCGCCTTCCTCTAAATGCACCAATGAGAACCCGATTCCAGACTGAACCAGGCGCCTCTCCAGTCCCGACACATAGAGGATGTACAAGAGCGGTGAAAGCGGACAGCCTTGTCGGAGACCCCTTGTCACCGTCACTTCTTCTGATTTGGCACCATTTAGCTCCGTTTTCACCGTGTTGCCCAAATACAGCCATCGAATGAGCGTTAACCACTGGTGCGGAAGACCAAGTTCTTCCAGGTACAGAATCAGTACGTCATGAGGCACACTGTCATAGGCCTTGGCGATATCAAGAAAGCAGCACAGCAGACTTCTTTCTTCTTTACGCGCAACCTCAATACATTGGGTGATCGTAAAGAGGTTATCTTCCAGTCGGCGATCCCGACGGAAACCTCCCTGGAGCTCTGTGAGCACCCCACTCCCCTCTGCCCATGTCGCCATATTTTCTTTCACGATACGCGCGAAGACTCGGTATATCGTGGAAGTCACTGTTAGTGGCCGATAGTCCCGAAGGTGTTTTCGGTTTCCACCCTTCTTTGGGATTAGGACAACCCGGCCAAGTCGCCAGTCTTGTGGCAAAGGCTCTGCGCCGCAGAAGATTGCACTGAAGATCGCTGCCAGTTGTTTCATGGAGTCCTTTCCCATGGATTTGAGACAAGAGGCTGGGATTCCGTCTAGACCCTGGGAGGTAGATGTCTTCAGGTGCGTCAGTGCTCGAAGAATGGTCACCCAGCCTATGACCTCTTCTTGAGAATGTTCTCCTGTGTTTGTCGGCCGCCAGTCTAGTTGGGGAGCTGCCGGCTCTTCGGATACAAAGGTCTCCTTCAGGTAGTTCGTCAAGTAGGTGCCAAGGTCGTTAGGTACCTCCCCAGTGACCTCGTCGACAATAGTGGTTTCCTGATCTCTGCCATCTAAGGACCCAAGGTAGGCCCAAAACTTCCTCGGTGCGTCTTTACCGCTGCACCGGATATCTTGGACGGTAGCCAGATCTGCAGTTGTTATCTTCTGCTGGATGAGTTGTTTAGCATATCTTTTGCGAATCTGATACACCTCCCATTTCTCACCAATCTCTTCCAGCCCAGAGCGGAGTGCCAATCGATGGCACCTGTTAGCTTCTTGGCGGGCATGAATGGCGGACTTGACTTCAGCGTCCCACCATCTCTTACGGTGTCTACGTCCGATTAATGTTTTCGGTGTGTGTCGTTCGATGAGGTCTCTAAGTACTGTGATGTAATCTTGATATCCAGCTGCCCGTATCCTGCTGTCGCTTTTTTCAAAACTCTTCATTACGCTCTCAACTGCCCGCTCACTCAAGTACGATCGCCGGGGGATCTCGTACCGCTTTTTTGTTTTTCTCCAGGTGGCTTTGCTGAAATCCAGCCTCAAACGATTATGATCGCTACCAACACTGTGATCGCCTTCTTCATCTATATGTACTTGTGTAATATTTTTTCCGAGTTCGTGAGATACAAGAGCGTAATCAATGCAGGTTTTACGTCCTCGTGCGCACCATGTGTACTGCCCTTCGCATGTTGGTCGTAGATTAACCACCTCGAGTTGCAACTCTTCAGCTAACTTTAGGAGTAGCCTCCCACTACTGTCCTCCCACCCGTCTAATTCTGCAATATGTCCGTTAAAATCCCCCATTATTAGGATACTTCTGCCTCCCCCAATGGCCTTTGCATCCTTTACAACACATGGC